GCTTGTGTGCCTGCTTGTGGACTCACGTGTTTCTCATCCCTGTGTGTGTGGTGCAGGGAACATCAAGAAACCACCTCCGGAGGTGGTGCTCAAGTGGATTTCACGGGCGTGGAAAGCTGTGCCCGCCGACCTGATTAAGAAAGTGTTCCTCATCTGCGGCATCAGCAATGCCCTTGACGGGAGTGAAGACGGACTGGTGCTGGCGCACCGCAAAGGTCAGCTGTCCCACGACGTAGAGGTAGATGATGACATCCAAGCTAGCGGGTTCTTTGGGAACAACTCTACGGAGCCAGAATCGGACGAGGAGTAGGCCTTAGGCTAGACTATTCATGATGTAGGCTAGGATTCTACTCTGACGTATGTGACTGGAAAAAGTTAGTTGAAATTTTTAGCTAGTAAAATGTAGGTTTCAAGTTGGTAGTGCAAAAACTTCAATACACATTCTTGTCTATAGGGCGATGGTGCGCTTATAAAAAGTAACGATTTTTTAGAAGGTGCACTTCTAATTGAGGATCGACCATAAGCGCATTGCTCCAGATAGAAGCGCATGCGCTTAACATAGGCCTGAGGTTATATCCGGGGCGATACAGTAAGTATTCTCACTATCTTGAAGTGTACCCTTTTCGCGGACTTCGCGATCACTTGAAACTTGAAACCAAGGCTCTGGGTCTTCATCACAAACTCATACTTGAGTTCTTGATGGGTCTGCTGCACACACCTGCGACACGCCGAACGTTCCACACACGACAAAATAGAAACCGCGCACGGAACACAAACGACCGCGTGACACGCGACTAGCGATAACTCGCTATTGACTCGACACACACATTCGACATCATGACTCAACATTCACACACTATTATAAACATGAAGTATATATTATCCCATGCCCTCATACCATTCCATGCACACACACATGCACGCACATGGACAACAAGCCGAGTGCAAACCGTTGGGTTGCACCAACAGGCACTCGAAGGAGAGGTGGTCGGGGTTGCGGTAGATCCAGCACTCCCGACGTCGACTTCCTCCTCCTCGGCCGCCACCCGTGGCCGACTTCTTCTGGTCGGCGTCCTTCGCCGGCTTCCAACCGCTGCTACCACCGCCGCCAGACTGCCCACGCTGTCCCGGTCGACCACCTTGCCTCGCCGGGGCGACGTAGTTAACCTGCGCCAGCAGCTCCTTGGACCGCTCAGACTCCTGCATCGCCTCGTCCTGCAAGATGTACGAGGTCAAGGTGTCCTTGTTTAGCGTCGCGCGCGTGCTTGGCGCCATTGACAGCCGCTTCAGTAGGTTGTAGCTGCTTGGAAGTCCCTGCATGACGTACAACGCCGTCGAGTACTGCACGCCGGCCATCTTTATGGTGGTGAGAATTCGCCGAGCTCGGTTGCAGTAGTTGGTCGCCGTCTCCTGGTCGCCCATACGCAGGTGTGTCAGCTACCCCTCAAGCTGGGCGATGAACAAGTCGTCGACTCGATGAAGTGCCACGCCCGGTGGCCGGCGTCGAGGTACTCCCTGCACGACTTTAAGGCGATTTGACCGCGAGATGACCGTGAAGGTCAGCAACTGCACAGCACGAATCTCCGCACGCAAGTCAAGGTCCTCCGGCGTCGCCACGGTACCACGGGCAAAGCCGATCAGCCCGGCCATCTTTAGCTGGGGCTCGATGGCTTCCTTCCAGGTGAGGATGTCGGGTCGACCGACTAGCAGGGGAGTGACCAAAATCCTATCCGGCGTAAACTTGAAGTAGCCGTAGCTCGGTGCAATCTCACCTGCTGTTACGTGGGTCGCCAACATCGGCGACAATCCGCTTCGTCAACCTCCGACATAGCCTTGCGAGTAGTCTGCAGCCGCGGACAACTGCATCCCTCACCCTGAACGCCGCCGACTTCATCGGCGTGAATCACACCTCGCTGCCTCGACGTGCCTCCCGCACTGCTGCCGAACTGATCACCGGTGTTGACCCCCACGTCGACGCCGCCCTCCGTGTTCCCCGTCCGAGGAGATGCAGGCTGGGAAGGAAGGTGCTCCATCACCCACACAGCGTGGATGCCAGCCTCGACGACCGCCCAGGGGAGGTGGCCGTACTCCTTCGCCTCATGGCGTCTCCTCGCGTTCTCCAGCCGTGCCTCTAAGGTGCGTCACCTACGGCGACTACCATGGTGACAACCGCACAGCTACAGGCCTACTGTCAGAATGTTATTATCTAGCCTGTAGTGGGGTGCTCTATAGCGAGTACAACCCAGTTACGGTTTGCTATATGTATCCCAACTGCTGCTAGTGAAACCCCTCTTTCGTCATTCTTCTTTTGTACTGCCTAGTGTTTTGACATGCTATCAGAGCAGGTCGACCCCCTTGGGTCGATCCTGTGGGTGGGCCCGCCACCTAACTGCTTCCGCTGCTGTTCTGCTTCTCGCGCGCCTCGGGCGCGCGCCGTCTTCTTCCTGCCGTGCGCAAAACTTTTTAGGGTTTTTCATCCCACCGTGCGCTCAGGGAGCGCGGCGAGTTTCTGCCCGCCGTGCGCCCCGAGGCGCGCGGCGGTTTTCTGCCGTGGGGGACCCGCGCGCAACACCCCGCCCTTCCCGTCGCGTCGCCCTGCAGGCCGCGCGTGGGTCTGCAGGGCGCGTGCGGCCCGTCTGCCCGTTGGGCAGCCTTGGGGAGCAGCGCGCGGCCCCCGCCCTTCCCGTCGCGTCGCCCTGCAGGTCGCGCGCGGGTCTAGAGGCCGCGCGCGGCCCGTCTACCCGCCGCGCGGCGTTGGGGAGCCGCGCGCGCCCCCCGCCCGTCCGTCGCGGCGCCCTAGGGAGCCGCGCGCGCCCCTTCGCCCGTCCGTCTTGGCGCCCTGGGTTGGAGCGCGCGGCCCCTCCTGTCCCGTCCCCTCCCCCCCCCCCCCGTGCTGCCCATTCCTCCCGTGCCGCCATGCGTTCCGCGGTGGTGGGGGGTGTGGGGTGGCAAGCATGGGGGTGCGCGGTGTGGGTGTTCCCCTCCTCCTTGTTCGTCTCCCACTGCTGCAGCTGCTGCTGAGGGGGGTGGAGGTGTGGGAGCCGCGGGGAGTGGAGCTTGGGGGGTGACGTGGGAGTGGAGCTAGGGGTGCAGCAGGGGTTGTGTGGAAAGGAGGTGAGACTGTTTGGGGAGGCTGAGAGGAGGCCGCCGTCGTGTCGTTCGCAACGCCTGTAGTACGGAGCCGTCGTGCTCTCGTAGCCCAGAGAGCCTTGCTGTGCCGGTCGCCCGTGGGTCCGTTGCTTCTGCCGCTCGTCGTAGCCGCGGGGCCTGTTACTCCCTGTAGTCCGGGGCACTTGCCGCCGGTAGCCACTGTGCCAGTCCTTTTGTTGCCCGTGTGTCTGCAGCTTCAGCCGTCGTCTCCCATCTTCTCTCCCTTCACAATTCCTCCTCCTCCTCACTTGCCCTCTGTGATCGCCTCTAGCTTTGCCTATAATTGTGAACTATTACTATGCCTGCTCATTGTGCTGATTACACCCCAGTTTGGCTATGGGGGTGTGTCAGAATGTTATTATCTAGCCTGTAGTGGGGTGTGTTAAAATAGTAGCTTGATAGGTAGGTAAAAAGTAGGACGGCCTAGGCTTAGTAGCCTAGGCCAACTAGATCGAGTAGTTTGTGCCAAGGTTTTGAGAGTCGAGTGCGTTGGAAGAGAGTTGGGAAGGAATGATGCTTCACTATAGTTTCGAAGTACATATAGCAAAGGAAACAAGTGAAGAGGTGCACCACCTACAGATTTAAATAACTACACTAACTACAGCTACAGGCAGTTACAAATATAGGTTTTGACAGGGTGCTCTATAGTGAGTACAACCCAGTTAGGGTTTGCTATATGTATCCCAACTGCTGCTAGTGAAACCCGTCTTTCGTCATTCTTCTTTTGTACTGCCTAGTGTTTTGACACCTACAACGCGCAATAGGTAAGTGACCACTACGTCGACCTGACTGAAAGGTAAGTCGTCTGTCATCCACGCTCACCGCACCATGTGGAGATAACTAGTACAACGGAAGCTAGGCTACGGGCTAGGCACGGGGCAAGGGTGATCTTTGCTTTCGTTCCTTATTGTTCACTTGTTCTTGCACTTCTTGCTGGTTCACGGGGAAAGTTGGCAAGAGTTCCTTTAGCAAAAGTTCACAACAATGATAGCAACAACATTGGCATGCAAGACTACATCAGGCCTAGCAAAGCTACTGGTCAACCTCCAGCGCAGCACGGTCGACCGCGTGCCAGCACGACTTGGTTGACCGCGCTCCAGCAAAGCAAGGTCACAGCTTGCCAACGTTGCAAGTCCACAGTGTGCCAACGATGAAGCAAGTCGGCTGCACAGCGTTGTACCTGCAGGACAACAAAGCATCTGCTTCGCAGATGCGCGCATATGGTTGGTGCACCATTCCTTGTCACGAGCACAGCGCAGACGCCTGGCAGACTCCACGCCAGCGATTGCGCCCACCAGCCACATCGATCTTGGGATACCACCCCCGAGGTCGGCCTCGCAAAAGCCACCCCCGGCGACTGTCGCACACGTCGCCCGGGTATCCCGGTCGACTAGGCAACCAGGTCGACGCCGCCAGGTCGGCGTCCTCCGTGGTCAACGTCCCATCGTTGACCACTTCAGGAGTAGGCCACCGACTTCGCCAAGTCGTCGGCCACCCAAGGTCGGCGCCCTCCACCCCGGTGCCCTGCTGCTCGACGCACAGCTGCTTGGCATCCTGCTACTCGACGCCCTCCAGCTCGAAGTCCCCAGCCTTCCCTATCGAGGTCGACGTCGGCCCCTCCTTCATCGACCACCAGGTTCGGTCGACCTCCTAGTCGACCACCCCAAATTAGGCGCCCAGAAGTCGACGCCCATCGCAGTGGCCCCCGCGCAAGTCGGCCTCCTCACCGACCAGTCCGCCCACTGCTGCAGGTCGGCTGCAGTTCTCCATACACCCGACCACAAGAACAGCTCCGCCCAAGCGAGGACGGGGCCTAACAACAACTCCCGTTGACATCGCTGTGCTTGAGCTCACAAATGCTTCTCCTCGCCCACCCGCCCCCCCACCTCCGCCAGGTCGCGCCGCTTCACTATCTTGATGTCTCCCCTGCCAAACACGCGGCTGACTGAGGGGGGGAGAGGGACGAGGAGGAGCAGAGGGGGGGAGTTGCTTACGAATGCACTGCTTCTTCTCCATCTTGAACCCTTCATTGCAGCTGCGTTGGGGAGGGTTGTCCTTATCATTGTAGGAAGAGTGGGGCGGACACGCCAAGTCCTCACAGGTTAGCGCTGCACTTAGCATGGGAGGAACAAGCCTGGTGCAAGAATCAGGGTTTGGTGGCCGAATGATTGAGAGCGGCACACATGAGAGGCATACTCTCCCACACAGGCAACAAGTAAAATAGTTAGTGTAATGAACTGGTGCATGGGGAAAGAACCATGAGGTTGAGAAGGACGACGGAGAGAAGGGAGAGGGAGAGGAGCAATCGGCTTACGAATGTAGTACTTGTCGCTCATCTTGAACCCCTCATTGTAGAGGCATTTGCGGGGGATGTCAGTATCATCGCACTTAGAGTTGGTCGGATATGCCAACTCCTCACAGGTCAGCGTTGACGATAGCAGGGGACGGACGACAGAAGCAAGCATTGGGGGCCGAATGATTGAGCGCGGCACACATGAGAGAGAGACATACTCTCCCACACAGGCAACAAAGGGAACGGCTAGCACAATGAACAGAAGCATGAGGGAAGAACTCAGAGGGCAAGAAACGGAAGGAAGAGGGAGAGGAGCAAGTGGCTCGCACATTGAGTCAACAGCTCGGATGCCATGTCACGTTCCACACATGCACCTTCCTCGTAATTTTCTCTGACTCGCCTTCCTCGTCGTACTTTTCTTGGACTCACCTTCCTTGCACCTTCCTTGGACCCATCTATCTCAAGCTCACCTTCCTTGCGCAGGGCGTGGGCGTCGGGATGGGGGAGCACCTGCCGCCTCATAAACACACTGCACACGCGACAGCAAGCCCACCCGCGCCGGCCACGCTGCTGCCGCTACTGCTGGTGTCTGCTGCTGCTGCTGCTGTGGCTGCGGTTGAGGGTGAAGCTGCAGGGGCTGTGGCTGATGGGCAGGCGGTAGGGGCTGCAGCGGGCCTGTGGGGGGAAAGGGGGGATGTGACAGGGGGAGGGAGGGGGAGTGGGAGAGAGGGGTTGAGAGGGGTTGGTGGAGTGGAGATGCTGGGGTGGGGTGAGAGGGACGAGGGGGTTGGGGAGATGACATGGATGATGGAAGATGATGGGGCCGAGTCGAGCGGCACATGAGGTGAGGGGCATGTGAGGGGCATGTGAGCGGAGGGGCATGTGAGGGGAGGGAGGGGCATGTGAGGAGCATGTGAGGGGAGGAGGGGGCATGTGAGGGGTGGGCATTCGAGGGGCATATGATGTGATGGGAGGGGCATGTGCGGGGAAGCTGATGAGTGGGGCACTGTTAAGGGCGAAGCAATGGTGATAGGCGAATGGAATGCAGGCACGGTTCAGGTAAGAAGCACAGAAGCGTTGGTTCGACAGTAGACTTGCCAGGACGAAAAGCACGTTAGCGAGGCAGTAAGGGCGGGTAGAGAGGCTTGATTGACATGGGCGGTGGAGCAGCGGGGCAGTGGGTGGGGGGGCCGCAGCGGGGGCAGCACCTGGTGTTGATGCAAGCAGCAGCAGCAGCAGCAGCGGTGAGAAGGTCGACATCCACCACCAAAGTGAGAGAGGGAGCGGTGGGAGAGAGGGGTGGGAGAGGATGTTAATAGCAAGGGGGGAAATGGGTTGGAGAGAACAAGAAGGCGAGAAAGCGCCATTTCATTGGATTGCTATACCTTCGGCTTTCAAACCTGGTAGGCGCATGTAGCAATGCCTCGACGAGCCTCACGACCCCCCAGTCCACTCACTCACACGCACCCAGCCCAGCTAGCCCACTTGCACAGGTCCCATCCCATCCCATCCCACCGCATCTCACCTGCACGGACCCATCTCACCTGCTTGGACCCATCTCATTTGCATGGAGCCATCCCACCTGCGCGGAGCCATCCCACCTGCGCGGAGCCATCCACCTGCGCGGAGCCATCCCACCTGCGTGGAGCCATCCCACCTGCGCGGAGCCATCCCACCTGCACGGAGCCATCCCACCTGCGCGGAGCCATCCCACCTGCACAGAGCCATCCCACCTGCACGGAGCCATCCCACCTGCACGGAGCCATCCCACCTGCACGGAGCCATCCCATCTGCACGGAGCCATCCCACATGCGCGGAGCCAGACGATTGCATGACGGTGAGTAGCTCGTCCTCGCCGCCCCGCTGCTGCCCCTCGCCCCACGCCCTCGCTCCGCCGCACCCATCTCTGAGCTCGTGTTTGTGAGTGCTCTGTGAAACATATAGTCCACTCGTGCCTCCCCACTCCGCCACCTTGGTAAGGTTCTAATTGGACCAATCCATTATGGCGATTACCGTTTTCTCCTGGACATAACACTCTAGGGTATTATGATAAATACAGGAAAAAAATGGGGGCTTCTTCTCATCGGAAAAGGCTACACACCACCCGGGTCTATTCATATGACATTTTTTAGTATAAGGATTTTGATAAATGGACAACGTGGGTGTTGTCAAAGTTGGTTTCGGCAGAGGCGAAAATGCAAGTTTCGGCGCCAATTACTCACCCCCTTAAAATTGCCATGTGGCACCTCTTTGGCCACTTGTTAGTGAACGATCTATCAGCCCGGCAACAGCGAAAAAAGTGGGAGGGAGGTGATTCCGGCAGATTCTTTTGAAATTACCATGTAATCTTATCGAGGAAGTGATTTCCGCGATGTTTTCCCTTAATTGCACCTACTCGTTAACAGCAGGAAAAAGAATTTTTGTAAGAAAGGGGGGTGTTATAGAATATCAGCCAAAAAAGGGGGTATAATACAACTGAGGTCGCCTATAACACCCACCCCGCACAAGCCACCTGGAGGGTGTACAATTTTGGCGGGTGTTATGTCCGGGTGATTACCAGTACGGTAGTTTCTGTCCCTTTAAAGTGCATGTTGAGGTTTAGGTCACATGCATGAGCTGCTTGCTGAAGCGATACTACGCGGGTACGCAGTTCCGATTGGCGGCCCTCAACAATGGTCGTTGTTGCGAGGACCCGATTGCGAAGGACACGATTATCCAGGTTGTGTGAGCGCGCAGATGCCGCGTTAACGCGGGAATGCCACAACGAGACCTACCGTACGATAGTGAGAGGCGATAACCGGTATCTGAAGATGGTGGCTGGAGCTGTTGTAGCTTATCGTTGCACAACTAAACCATGTTGTACTGTAGTTTAGGTACTGCATTTTCCATTAGAATCCCGCAGTTAGTGAAGCCAAAAAGTAACTTCTAATAGCGTATAGAAAAAAACACTGTTGATATGTTTGTCTTCTTGACTGAGCTTGGAGATTGCACCCAACGAACCAAGTCTGTGCCGCCGGATTTTAGAAGTTTATCCATAGCTCTCCAGTCGAATCATGGCGAATCTGCGAATCTGCACAAACACACCAGTTCATTTCACGTATCCTTGTACGTATCCTTGTTGCACTCGTCTGATACTTTGTGGTAGTCACATTAAAAAAAGGTATTTGAAGGCATGAAAATGGAAGGGAGCTCTTGAGATTTCATTCTGATCGAGAAGATGTTGCTTTTAGGCATCATAGAACCATTTACAGCAAAACTGATGATACAGTACCACTAAAATTCGTACATGCAATCTTATTTTCCCCTTCGTATGACAAGGAAAGACATGACATGGACACATAACCATGCTTGGCATGCTGTTGGACGAGGTAGCTCCATGCTTGTACGCATGTGAGCATACCGTACATGCTGACATGCATACAACCGCTGTGAGACCACATGAGATTATGTCAATGAGAGGGTGAGGGCGTGGTTCTGAGTGCATGTGAGATTACAGGAGATTGCATGTGAGTGTGAGTAAGAAAGCAAAGCACGTGAGAGTTTGAGTGCAAATGCACTAATAGTGTGACTGAGTGTGGACACAGGCGAGAGCATGAGTGTGAATGCACACGATAGTGTGAATGCACATGACCTTATGAATGCATGCGATGGCACGTGAGAGTATGTGTGTGATTGCACGTGGGAGCATGAAAGTGAATGCACGCGGGAGTATGAGAATGAATGCACGTGGAGTATGAAAGTGAATGCATGTGGGAGCATGAGAGTGATTGCACGTGGGAGCATGAGAGTGATCGCACGTGGGAGCATGAGTAGAGTATGCTTAAACATGATGGCACAGCAACGAGTGAGTGATCAGCCAAGCTGTGCTTGCATCGCGCACACCTACAATCGCAGTTGTGGGGACCACGGGGCACAGGGGAAGGCAAGGAGTAAGCAGACTGCCACCTGGGAGAAAAGAGGAGCAGGGGAGGTGACACGGGGCGAGGAAAGAAGAATGCGAGCACATTACGCATCCATCACCACGCATGCCATTCAAAGTAGATTTGGAGATTCTCATAAACCAGCTCACCACACATGTCATTCAAGGTTCCTTACCATCCTCCACCACACAATGCACGCTTGGGGTTATGAGCAGTCTGGTCCCATCAAGCACAGTTCACATTATCTGTGGTCCAATCAGATACGTTGCACACTTCATGTAGTCCAATCAGAGACATTGCACGCTTCACATGGTCCAATCAAGCACTCAATCGGACACCGTTGATGCCCTTCTTACCACCGCTGCTGCTGTGCATCCCCCTACTCCCCTCACCTGCCTCATCTGCCTCATGTGCCTACCTCACCCCTCTTCTCCTACTACTGTGACCATGCCCCACCAAGTCACCTTCTCACCCAAACTGCTCCCACTTCTCCCTCCCATCCCTTTCTGACCTGCCATGCCACACACCTCATAGCGCTCACATAACCCACCAAGCGCTTCACCACCACTACTTCCCTTTTCACCTAAGTGCTACCCCTGCTCCCCCTCCCATCCACCCCCCTGCTCCCCCTCCCATCCCTCTCCTCACCTGTCACGCCACGCGCCTCACAGCCCTCTCCTCATGCCCCGCCAGGCATTTCACCACCACTGCTGCCACTCGAATCCGCACCCCCTCCTTCCCCTCCTCACGCCCCCTCCACCAGGCCAATGGGTGGGTGACACGTGGCATGTGGGAGGAGGATGTGAGAAGAGGCGCGTGTAGGGCCAGTGGTGGCAGTGTGTATGGTGGAGACAGGGAGTGGGCGAACGAGTATGGGTGCAACGGTGCATGGGCAACTGGCGAGTCATCACGCTGTTGCTGCGGCCGCTTCCCCGCCATATGCTCGTCCGCCTCTGCTTGACTCCTGTGTGCGTTTCCTCTCACTCTAGGCTGCTTGGTTTGGCACGAGAGACATGGGTGTGAAGGACGGTGCAGATGGCATTTGAGGGAGAGGGGCAGGGGTGGCGGTGGGGAGGTAGGGAGAGCGAGGGAGAGGAGGAGGAGAGTGTGAAGGGCGAAGGGAGGAGAGACGTCACAGAGGAAGGTGAGCGCGAAGAGAGCTGCATGGCGTTGCTAGATTGGTGGGTGGGGGTTGAGGATGGGGAAGGGGTTGGTGGGAGGGAAGGGTTGGGGAGGTTGAAGAAAGGGGATTGAGGAAAAAGCGTAGACAACACGAAAGAGTGTGGAAGCAAAGAGAGGTGCGTGGGGTTTGGGATGGGAAGACCCATTCACACACGCACGCACACACAACCACGCACGAACTCACGCACGCACACCCATTCACCCACACATCCACCCAACCACCACCTTTCTTTTCCCCCCTCCACCCACCCAACCACCCCCCTCCTTACCCCTTTTTCTCCACCAGATACACAACACACGCACACACGCATGCACGCACACATGCACACACACATGCAAACCTAAACGCACCACCCACCTCACCTCCTATTCCCCCTTATCCCCCTCTTTCTCCCCTTCCCCCCGCTCCCCTCTCTCACCTCCTGCTGTCCCTCGGCTTCCATTGCCGCCTGCACGACCAACTCCTGCACGTGTGCCACGTCAGCAACCAGCAAAGCGAGGCAGCCAATCAGGCGCAGCGCGAGACAGTGGGCTTCAAGCGAGTCAATGGAGTTAAGAGCACCAGCAGCAAGTGACGATGGGGGCGAAGGGGAGTCACTTTGCATTGCTGCTACTGCGCCTGCTGTGGCTGTGACTGTGGCTGCTGCTGCAGTGGGTGGGAGTGGAAAGGAGGAGCGAGAGAGTAGAGGGGCGATGCGGGTGATGACTTGGGTTGGGTTCAAGAGCTTCCGAGTAGTCAACACGCCTGCCCAGTCACTGCCACCGCCAGCACCACCATCACTGCCAGCACGATCGCCACTATCGCTATCACCATCACTTGCCAGCACTCTCACTGCCATCATTGCTGCTAGCGCTATTCCCTCCACCATCATCACCATCAATGTCTGCAGCACGCCTATCATTGAAAACACTCTTCTCTGCCTCCCCATAGGCGCCATCCCCACCTTCCTCTCCTTGCCTCCTCGTTCTCCCATCACACCCCCCACTTTCTCTCTCTCCTTCCCTCATGGTGGTCACTCTATTTCCCCTTCTTCTCCCTCCCCTCCACACATCCCTCACTTGCTCTCCCTCCCTCCTCCATCGCCACTGCAGCAGGCTAACGTCCACACATGTTGCTGTCGTCAGGCATGGCGTCACCATCCGCGTCACACCTCCCAGCACCGAGAGGCGTTCTCAGGGCGGCAGGTGTGAGTGAGGGGGTAGCGGGTGCAGCTGACGTGGCATGTTGAGATGCAGGAGAGGGAGGACCAGGACGGGGAGGAGCGGGAGGAGAGGGAGGGAGGGGAGAGGCAGCAGTGGTGAGGTGGAGGAGGAAGAGCTTGAGAATGCAGAGGCGGGGTGGCGCTGCTGCTGCTGCTGAAAACATCAGCAAGACGCAGAACCAGCGAATTGAATCGTGCGACGTCACTTTCAGACACAATGGCTTGTCGCTCCTATCCCTGCTCCTCCCACGTGCTCCCCCTCCCGCGCTCCGTCTCCCTCCCCCGCTTCCTCTTCCTCTCCGCCCCTGCGCTCCTCCCTAGTTGCTGCCCCAACGTCCATTCCACCATGGCAGGCCCCGCTGCGAGAATTCTGTGGCACTGGGTGGCTGAGAGGGGCGGGAAAAGGGATAGGTGGAGGAGGGGGAAAGATTGGAAGGCCATGGAGAGGGGAAAGAGAGGGGAGAGAGGGAGAGAGGGCAGAGAGGGGAGAGAGGGGGGAGAAAGTGGGCGAGTGGTAAGTGCAGGGCCTGATGCCGTTGCTCAGCAACAAGCATGGTAGGCATGGCAGGCATGGCAGGCACGGCAGGCACGGCAGGCATGACAGGCACGGCAGGCATGGCAGGCACAGCAGGCACGGCAGGCACGGGAAGCACGACAAGCACGGCAGGCACAGCAGGCACGGCAGGTACGGCAGGCACGACAGGCACGGCAGGCACGGCAGGCACGGCAGGCATGGCAGGCACGGCATGCACAGCAGGCACAGCAGGCACGACAGGTACGGCAGGCATGGCAGGCACGCCAGGCACTCCAGGCACGGCAGGTATGGCAGGCACAGCAGGCATGGTAGGCATGGTAGGCATGGTAGGCATGGTAGGCATGGTAGGCATGGTAGGCATGGTAGGCACGGTAGGCACGGTAGGCACGGTAGGCATGGTAGGCATGGTAGGCATGGTAGGCATGGTAGGCACGATAGGCACGGTAGGCACGGTAGGCATGGTAGGCATGGTAGGCATGGTAGGCATGGTAGGCACGGTCGGGCAGCGACAGCAGAAACGCGGAGGCAGCAGTGTGCACAGGGTGGCAGGAAACACGCACGAAGGCAGGGAGGGACAAGGGTAGGAGGTGAGATTGAGAGGAGGTGAGTGGGGGAGCAAGGAGAGATGGGGAGATATGGAGGACGGCTCAAGCGAATTGCGGCGAGAGATGACGCGCATTCACGAAGCGGAGAAGAGCGAATTTTGAGCATGTTGCTTTGCAGAGACGCTGGCAGGCGATGGCGTGTGGCAAGGCACCACGGGGCATGGCGCGGTATCTGGCGAGGTATGGTGGGGTATGGCGGGGAATGGCGGAGCACGGCGGGGTAGCGAGGGGCACGACAAATGGGAATGAAGCGGATGAGCATGTAACGGCCGACATGATGGGGAAGGAGCGAGATACGACCAGTAGAGGATACGGATTGCATCCATTATTGATGCTCCGCTCAGACTGAGGAGGGGGTTCCTCGGGAAGGCGTTCACCAAACTTCGTCAATGGGAAAAAGCATCGTCCATGACTTGACGTGCCCTTACACTCCGCAGCAAAACGGCATGGCTGAGCAGGAGATGCGCACGATTGTCGAGTCCGTGCGGACAATGCTACTGCACATGGGTGTGTGGCACCTCACTCTTCGACATGCTGTCTGGGTGCGCAACTGCTTGGAGCGGTCGACGACACCGCCGGGGACGACTCCGTACCAGCTGTTGGGGAAGGAGCCCAACCTCACGCTGCCGCGGGTGTGGGGCTGCATGGTGCAGTTCACCGTTCCCGAGCAGCAGCGCGGTGGGAAGCTTGCACTGAAGGCTCGCTAGGGGCTTCACCTGGGTGTGTCGCCGGAGAATAAGGGCTAGGAGGTGCTCGACCTGTCTGACAACAAGATGGTCACGTCGGTCGAGGTGATCTTCTACGAGACGATGTCGGTGGAGGTGTGGAAGCCGGCACACTCGCCGACTGACACCTCGTCGGCGACGGTCCCACTGCTCGCCGAGGTCGACGGGCCTGCTGATGAGGGATGTCGTGGAGGTTCTTCCTCCTCCACCTGTTCTTGCCCCTCCCTCCCTCGTCGTAGATCGGCCTGCGTCGACACCTGTGTCAGCCACCGGCGATGAAGGGGGCCTTGAGGCATCGCTTTCGGCACCGGCCAGTGGCATTACCGGCGGTTGACAAGGCGCCAAGCTCGTCGACCAGTATGGGAAGCCATCGACGACAAGGGAGCAGCAGACGGGGGAGCCGGTTGAACAAGAGACAGCAGCAGGGGTGCAGTCGACAGGGGAGCACCAGTCGGGGCAGTCAAAAGGGGAGCGATCGAAGTCAGCAGGTGGTGAGCAGCCGCTCGAAGTATCGAAGCAGCTGGTCGACTGCGTAGATAACTATATCAACGGGAGCTAGACTACGAGCTAGGCACCGGGTAGGGGGGATTCTTGTGTTCGTTTGTTCCTTAGTCGTTTCCTTGTGTTCACACTACTTGCAAGTTCACGGGGGGAATTGGCAAGAGTTTCACTACGGAAAGTTCACAACAATGATTCAGAATTATAGCAACAACATTGGCATACAAGACTACATCATGGTCGACTTCCAGCGCAGCACGGTCGACCACGTGCCAACACGACTTGGTCGGCCGCACTCCAGCAGAGCAAAGTCGCAGCTTGCCAAGGTTGCAAGTCCACGGTGTGCCAACGCTGCAGCAAGCCGGCTGCACAGCGTTGCACCCGTAGGACAACGAAGCATCTGCTTCGCATGTGCGTGCAGCTGGTTGGTGCGCCATTCCTCATCACGAGCACAACCGAGACGCCTAGCAGACTCCACGCCAGCGATTGCGCCCACCAGCCACGTCGACCTCGGGATAACCACCACCGAGGTCGCCCTCAGCAGAAACCACCTGGGCGACCATCGCGTGCCTCCGCAGAACCCCATCGCCCGGGGTAAACCTGGTCGAACAGGGCAAACCTCCTCGTCGACCAGCTCCTCCTTGTACCCGTCAACCACCCAGGTCGACGACCACCCTTGGTCGACCACAACAGGTCGAACCGTGGCACCTGGTCGACCAGCTCCAGGTCGACCAGCACACCCGCCGGCCAAACTACTTACGTCGGCATCCCCAGCTCGGCGTCGCCAAGTCGAAGCCCTCCGATGTCGACCTTGCCAGGTCAACCACCCGAAGTCGGCGCCCTCCCAAGTCGGTGCCCTTGCAGTGGCCCCCGTTCAGGTCGACCAGTCCCATCGACCAGCTCGCTCACTGCTGCAGGTCGGCTGCACCTCCCGCACACCCAAACACGAGGTCGGCTCTACCCAAGCAAGGACAGGGCCAACAACAACTCCCGTTGACATCGACGACGAGGACGTCGACGAGAAAGGGGGGCAGTCGGCGGGTGAGGAGTCCACCGACAGCGACGTGGTGGAGGTGCCATCACGAAGCCTGAGTTGCGACGCACAGGTCGAGCTCAACGACCCGCCTAAGCGGCTGAGCTTCCACGCCTGCCTACCGCCACCCTGCCTTCACCACGGTGTACGACGAGGTCGATGACGGACCTGCTGTAACGACGAGGCCAAGGAGGATGAAGAACTGCCGAAGCTCGACCCCGACGTTCATGCCGACCCCGAACACCGCTGGGACAATCGCCACGGTGACGATGAAGGAGGCGTTGGCGAATTGGAAGGGTGATGCGGCGAAGGCCGCCATGGAAGAAGAGATTCGCAGCCTCATCGGCATGGGCAATTTGGGAGCCGATCGAACGCCCACGCGGGGTGAACATCATGAAGAACTAGTGGGTGTCGACGACCAGTACAGCATCGACAACACGATTGAGTGCGAAAAGGCGAGGCTAGTGAGACGTACTCGCCGATAAGCCAGCTACGTCACACTGAGGATCTTCCTCAGCATCGTCGCCGTCCTTCGACCTCAAACCTGATGCAGCTCCACATGAAGAAAGCCTTCCTGTAGAGCAAGCTCGACAGGGTGCTCTACATGTACCAGCTGGACTACTTCAATGATGCGACCACCCGGGTGTGTAAGTTGCTGAAGAGCCTGTACGGGCTGAAGCAGTCGCCGCTGCTGTGGTACAGGGCTCTCGACAGTGTGCTGCTGAGCGCTGGCTGGAAGAAGAGCCAGGTCGACGA